AAACAGACCAGCTGTCATCCATGCTTTGTTGTTGCGTTTATACAGCATCTCTTAAGGGCCCTAGGATTTTCAGAATAGTCAGTGAGCATTGGCTTTAACTGAAAGTCACAGCTGCACTAGCCCCTGACAAGAGTCAGCTTGTCCTTTGAAGCCAGGCATTGAGTCTTTCTAACTATGAAAGTCCTAGATGGCATCTTTTTCCAATAAAATGCTGTTTCATCTACACTTAAAATCTGTTGTCTAGTGTATCCACTTGCATCGATGATCCGAGCTAGATATTGTGGGTAACTTCTGCAGCTTCTCCATCAGCACTGCTGCAGCACTTTGTACTTCTATGGAGATGGCTTCTTTACTTAAACCTCATGAATATTGCGAGCTTCAAATTTTCTCCTGCAGCTTTCTGACCTCTCACATTTAGTGAGAGGCCATTGTGGGGTTATTAATTGGCCTAATTTCAATATTGTTGTGTCTCAGGGAATAGGGGGGCCTGAAAAGTGGGAGAAAGATGAGGGAATGGCCAATCAGTGGAGCAATCAGAACACACACATTTATCAATTAAGTTCACCGTCTTAGGTGGGTGAGGTTCATGGTGCCCAAAACAATTACAATAGTAACATCAAAGATCACTGGTCACAGCTCTCCGTAACAATAATTTAAAAGTCTGAAGTATTGTGAGAATTACCAAATGTGACACAGATGCAAAGTGAGCACAAGCTGCTGGAAAAGTGGCACCAAAAGACCTGCTCGACAGTTGCCACAAACCCACGATTTGTAAAAGACATAGCATCTGCAAAGTGTAATCAAGTAAAACACAATAAAACTAGGTAATATGAACCTAAAAAAGGTTCATTTGTTTTTGACAAATTTGTAAACTCTCAGCCATTATTTTTTTCAAATACTTTTTCATCCCCACCCTCCTTGTCCTCTTTCTTAGACCCATGATTCAAATGTTAGGTCTTTAGCTAGAGGCCCACAGGTACCAATCGCAGTCTGTTTTCTCTGCTCAGATTTTTATTTCATCTTAAAATTCAGTGATTCTTTTCTCTGTACTCCTCATTCTGCTGTTTAACCCATCCAGCGAGATTATTTCATTTAATCTTTTCTCAGTTCTAAAATTTCCATTTGATTTGCCGTCTTCTAAGACTTCCTGTTTTTTCATTTATTCCAAGCATGTTCATAATTGCTCACCGAAGTTTTAAATGATGGCTGCTTCAAAATCCTTCTCAGGTAATTCTAAGATCTGTGTCATCTTGGTGTCTGTGTCTGTTAACTCTCTCTTCTCATTCAGGTTGACATTTGCCTGGTTCTTGGCACAAGAGCATGGCTTTCTGTTCTATTCTGCCCATTTGGGTTTGAGACCCTGGACTTGTTTGAATGTTTTAGTAGGTCTACTCTGACACCACCCCCGTGGGTGAAGGGGGCATGTGGTGGGTTTGACGGTTCAGGCTCACCACTGAGCCCCGTTTGAGTACAGGCGGGAGGGAGGAGTGGCTCAGTGCCGCTTCCCACTAGAACACGTGGGCCCCACTGATACCATGGGAGTGGGGGGAGTTGTTCCTCCTGGGTCAGGGTAAAAGTCTAGGCTCCCAACATGGCTTCCACTGACACTATGGGGGTGGGCCTCATTACCATCCTGCAGGGATAGAAGTCCCAAGCGCCCTACTGGGTTAGCTCTGACCCCGCTCCAGCAGGGGTTGGGGAGGCCTCATTGCAACAGGCAAAGGAGAAGGTCTAGGCTCCCCACTTGGCCCTTGCTGGTGAGGCTGTGGGGTTGGGGCCATGGGTTTTTCCACGGTGTTTGGATAGAGTAGGGAAGTTACTGTCTGAGACTTCTCCATCTTTCTAGGTTGCCCTGTCCTGATCCTTGGGCTAGAGATACCAGGCTTTTAGCCATTGGCTCCTATTGGTGTTTCTGGGGTGCTGGTTTCTCCAGTGCCTCGTATTTACCCAATATGAGGCAACAGAAAACCCAGGGAAGTCAATGCTGTGTTATTCCTTGGGTACTGAAGTTCCTTTCCATTCGGTCTTCTCAGCTTTCACAGTAGTTTGATGTTTGTTTTATGCAAGTCCAGGCTGCTCTTAGTGGAGGAATAGGGAGAAGTGCGTCTATTCTTTCTTGTCTCTTCTACTTTGTTTTGAATAGTGAATTTTCTAAAAATGTGGTCCTAGAAAGTAGCTTAGTTTGCAAAATATAAACATAACTTTTATATAATTTTATAAATAACTACTGACTCAGTCAAACCACCGAGGACATGTTCTACAATCAATGGTTTGTGTGTGTTTCCAATTGAATGCTAAGTCCTCGATCTAAGCCATGTCTTAGGTTAAAATAATTCCAGGATTTCCTGATATTGAACCACCTTTGCATTCCGGGAATAAACCTCGCTTAGTCACTGTTAACAGTAGGGTGCACTAGGTTAAGTTGGGGTAACAAATAGCCCCCCATCTTAGGGGCTTGTAAGGGTTTATGTGTCTCTTACGCTCCATGTCCCACTGTGGGTCAGCTGTCCCAACCCCCAAGCCCTTGAAGTAGCCACCATCTGGAATATTACCAATCTTAGGGACGAAGGCAAAGTGGACAGTGTGAACCAAGGGCAGGCACTTAAAACTTTTACTCAGAAGTCCTATATGCCACTTCCACTCACAAGCCACACAGTCACACCTAAGTTCAACGAGGGGATGTATAATCCTCCCACAGGAAAGAGCACTGAGAGGGAGAAGCACCAACCCATTTCGTGAAAAATAATACAATATACTACTACATATCATTGGATTCAGTTCACTAATATTTTATTTTGAATATTTGCATCAACCTTCATAAGGGAGACAGGTCTATAGTTTCTCATTTCATAAAAATAATCTGGAAGTGAAAAATTACTTTGCCATTAAGACTGCAAGGTGACTGATGTGGTAGCTCAAGTTAAAAGATAAGTGTTATAGGTGTATAGTAGGGGGTCTAATTTCTGCCTTGACAGCTTATTATGTAATAATAAAAGGTTAACACATCTTATGTGATCTGATAAATCAATTAAAACGTTTCCTTAAAAAAAATTCCTTTTGGAAATTTCCTCTAAGGGGAAAAAAATTTGGAAGATAATTTAGGAATGAAAAGTACTCTCTCCTGCAAAGTCAGATTTCACTTCTGCACCCAACCCGTGTCTTAGAGGCATGTTTTTAATATTTTCATTTCCTACTTTTCTGCCCTGGATTATAAAGTGGGCACAGTTTTTCTGTACACATTCCTGACAGTGCTTTCAACTGAGCAACTCTGCCAAAAAGCATGCCTGAACCGGGAGGGCATTACTAAGGAGGCAAGAATCTTCTAGTGGGTGGAGACGAGGTTTTCCTCTCACCCTCTCACCTCCTTCTTGACCGCCCCCGTCATTGAGCCTCCTGTGTAAACAGCATCTTTTGTCCAAGCATCCCAATGAGTATAAACATTGTCTCACCTGTAAGGCAAGTGATTGGCAAATATTTATTCATATTTTTCAGATGGACAAACTGAAAATGCCAGAGTCAAGTGGCCTAAAGCCACTTCCAAAGCTGCTTGCTTTGGGAAAACGCTTCACAACTGCTGCTTCTTGAGCATTTCCCTGGCCTTGCTGGTGGCCAGAGGACAGAAGGAACTAAGTTCTGGCTGTTTGGTGTATATGTAATTTCAGTTTCATTGTTGCTGTATACAAACTTTACCAAAACTCAGAGTAATAAAACCTTATCAGGTATTAGCAAGTCCTTGGGTTTGGTGAATAGGGAATGTTTACAGGCAAGAGGAGGCTAATTCTAGGAAAACTGAACGAAGACGGTAAAATCTGTGACTTACTTGAAAGCACACAGGTCTTGTCAGTACACATTCAGCACAGTCTCTGAAACCTCGTTAGCAGTAGAATCACGTGCTTACCCCCAAATCTTTGATGGCCACAAATTGTATGCAAAATGTCAACACTGGCAGTCACACACTGTGGCCAACCTACCTTTCCAGGCCTCTCTTTTACTTTACCTACGCTCATCTACACGCTGTCCAAACTGGGCTTCTTATTTCTGGGGCACAACTCCCCACTGCCCGCTCTGGGGCCTCTCTTCATGCTGTGCTTTCCACTTGCAGGGTGCTCTCCATCATGTCTGCTTATCAAAATCTTGGACTTCAAGACCCACAGGGACACTACTGCCTCCGGATAGCCTCTTAGATTCCTCCTAACTGGTATCTCTATTTTCTACATCATTTTTAGCACCAGAGCTTGAAATTCTTTTGGCACAGTATTATAATACTCTCCACAGCCCCTGCCCATCCGCCCAGCACACTAGCTGGTAAGGAACTTGCGGGTAGAGGCCCTGCAGCCTCTTCTATAGTAAAGCACGTAGGAGTCACGCTACCATTTGTTGGCTGTGATCCCTCTCCTGCAGTCTTTACATCTACAGTTTGTGTAATTCTAGGAAACCCCTTTCTCTGGTCTCTGGGCTATCCTGTCTCTTTATGGGATGCACTGGGGGCCCTTCCTCAAAAAGTCACCTTTTCCTCTGATGCATTATCCAAGACATCATTAAGGTAGTTAGTGGAGTCAATGGCTGAGTCACAGCGATTAATGGATCTACAGGAAACAGTGGGCTGCAAGTGCACATCATTGCTATCCTCAAAGAACAGGAAAGACAGTGTCTATTGCAATGACCAAGTTCCAGCCTGCTCAGAATCACCCATGAAGGCATTAAGTGCACAGGAAGTAAATGTGAAGAGAAAAAACACCCAAGATAGCGGCTTTCAAATAGGAATCAAGGAGCTATTCACTACATAATACTATTTCCTATCAGGTGGATTAGAAAAGCCTCTTTATTAATTCAAACTCTACACTTATTTTTACTTCAGAACAGATGGCCAACCTGAGCCCTGGTTTTCTATAATTTGGCCATAGCAAAGAAACAAAAAAAATTCAAACACTAAAATGAAGTAGAAGTTGTCAGAGAATAGACAGCAAGCAACACATAAATTCACAACATACACACAATAGGACAGTGTGTAACTTAAAGAGCAAAGGCACAAAACTGTACAGTGCTCTGCCATTTATTTTAAAAGACTGTAGAGATTGGAATATTTATCTAAACACACTGACAAAAGCGCTCTCAGGGGGAGACTTTTCACTGTATAATCTACTCAAAGAACACACAAACATGTTTTTAAAGAAACAACTCCAGAATAGAGATAACTTGTAACAACTGAAGACCTCATATTCTACCAGCATGTTTAAGCTCATTTTTTTCTTTTTTTCTGAGAGGCTTCTCTTCACTGAATATTAAGAATGTAGGAAGAGAGCTCATGGCTGTCCTTCATTGCGGACAACACTACAATGTGCTAATGAGGGTTAAACTGACCTTTTCAAAGCACAGATACCAGATTTCTGTTTTTGTAGGCTCTGGTGCCCAGAAGGAAGTTCTTTTGCTTTATGTTTCCTTATAAGACTAATAAAACCTAAGGATACGATTATCTAACAAGCAGTTAAGTTGTTTGGAAAGCAGATAGGTAAGAACCTGTTAGCTTTTTCCTTTCCTTCCCTTTTCCTTCTTTTTCTTTCCTTTTTTTTTTTTTTTTTTTTCCTCTCTCCTGAGACGGAGTTTTGCCCTTGTTGCCCAGGCTGGAGTGCAATGGTGAAATCTTGGCTCACTGCAGCCTCTGCCTCCTGGATTCAAGCAATTCTCCTGCCTCAGCCTCCCAAGTAGCTGGGATTACAGGCACCTGCCACCACACTCAGCTAATTTTTTTGTATTTTCAGTAGAGACGAGATTTCACCATGTTGGCCAGGCCTCCTGACCTCAGGTGATCCGCCTGCCTCGGCCTCCCAAAGTGCTGGGATTATAGGCATGAGCCACCACGCCCAGCCAGATGCTGTTACCTTCAAACTAACTTTCCTAAGTTAACTTTATGTGTATATGTACACACACAAATTTTCTAAGCTTTCAAAATGTTTGGAATAAAAATTATTTTGCAAATCTTCAACTGGGCAGATGGCTGGTATCTGAAATAGAAATAAATGCAAACAAAATATTCCAAAGTGATGGAGAATGTCCACAAGCTACTTAACAACATGAATTCAAGGTACAGTGAAAAACCAAACTGGTCTTCCTCATCATTCTCATGTCAATAATTTAGAAAAAATCCCTTCAGTACTACTGAGCTTCAGGCTTTGTAATGAAGACTGAAAATTCCAGGGGAAAGGAAGAGGAAGAGAAAGGAAAGAAATGAGAACCAGCAAAGATCAACAAACATTTCATTAATTCTGATTCCTTTTATCATTTGCTTTTTTATACAAAGCACTTTCAAATCAATTATCTTAAATTTGTAATAGGGGTTTCTTTCGGATTCAGTTTAAAAATGACAAATAGCATTCGTTGTGACCAAGTTGGAATTATACCAAAATTACCATGTGCTGGCACATACAATCATCCCGCTGGTGGCTGGAAAACTGGGTTGCAGGAGTGTCTGCCACTCAGATGGGCCACCACCCCAGTGGGCATATGGTAGAGATGAGGGAAGGATGGACTAGAAGCACGCTGGGTCTGCTGGGTCTTCTGGGTCGTCTCTACTCCTTTTTCACTTCGTCACCGTTTTCCCCACTGAGCTTGAACACAGGAATCTGCTGACCATCCTTGAGCTCTAAAAAGACCTCGTCAAGGTGCCACCTGAGAGAAACCAGAAGTACAGTATCTCTAATCTATGAACACTGAGGCAACGGCCATAGTCAAAAAAAGGGGTACAGAAAGCAGTTGTTTTGAATAATGCCTTAAATTTTTGTAAACATTTTGTGTGAGTGCTGTGTCAACACAATTCGTAACATTCTACCATGGGCTCTCATTATTTAACCAGCTTCGACTTCGAGGCAGGCTTAACAATGACAGGCGAATGGAAGGGACACCAGGAAGGAGAAGGAGCAGTTTATTTCTCATTTCCTAATTCACACTGACCTTCAGTTCCTGGCATGGAATCCAGTCAGCTCGTGCACTAATCCCAGGCTCAGAGGTCAGTGAGCCCAGGGTGAGCTAGGTGGGCCCGCCTGCTCCTTTTGTCCTTGGGAATTAAAACACAGCCTGGCTAAACAGCAAGCATCTATGAGAGAGGCTTCCCGTGGGGGAAGTGAGTGGATGTAGCTACTGGCAACCAGACAAGCAAAGCCAATTAAGGGGTGGAGAGCTTATGCAAAGAATGTGATGAATAAATTCTGGAACAAGAATCCATGCCCTTTATTCATTTGTAACAATCGAGGCAGTGAAGTGAGAAGCTGTAACATAGCATCAAATTATGACAGACCTAGATCACTATAACTGGAAAGTTTTATGAATTCAACGGCATAAGGAGAGGGCAATTCAGTAGACTGTATGGATAAACTGGACTCAGCTAAGAGCCACAGTACTGGCTTGCTGCCCAGGCCACGAAGCTTTCAGCTTCAAGCTTGAAAAACAGTTCTTCCTATGCCCACAGCAATTTACCAACAAATGAAAACAGAGTCGGGGTTGCTTCCATCAGGAAGTCCTCCTCCCACCCCCCGGACTGCCGTCACCTTCCCAGGATACCTCTGAAAGGGGCCACCTCTGGAGGAGTGGACGTAGAGAAGGCCCTCTGACTTGGATCCAGAGACAGGAATCTTCAACTGTGGTGTAAAATGACAGAAAGGAGAGATGTAATTGGATACATTATTGTCATTTCAGAAGATGATGACAAAATGATGCTTTCTCTAGAGCTAAGCCTATAAAATCCAGTGATTCTCCACAGAAGTGAGTTGTTTTCTAACAGCCCAGCTGGAGAATCCACTTGATTTTCCAAATGTCCTGCCCCTCTTTGGTTGGCTGGTAAGGTCAATGGCAGTCTTTGCATTTGGCAAGGAGGCCTCCTATGATCCTACTTCCAATGATCGCTCAAAAGTCCACTGTTAAAAAGGAGCAAACTCCTGACACATGCAGCAACATGGACGAGTATCAAAAACACGCCAAGTCAAAGGGCTTTACACAGGAGGAGTATATAACTATTTATTTTAATTCTACAACAGGCTAAACTATGCTGGAAACCTGTTATTTTGATGGATTACAAAGTAATTTTCAAACATCAAAAAAAAAAAAAAAGAAAAGTGACTGCCTCTGGTAGAGCTGGAAGATGTGAGAAGGAACCCACTGGGTAGGAAACGAGGGAATTCAGGTGCTGGGAGCAATCTACATCTAGATAACGGCTTGAGTGACACGACTGGGTATATTTGTTAAAACTCATCAGAGATAGGACACTTGGATTTGTGCCTTTCACAGACTGTAAATTTTACCTCAAAAAAAAAAAAAAACCCAAAAACTAGGCACCATAACAAATATTAAACTCCACTTAATGATGTACGTGCTTACATGTATAATGTTTGAAAATTACTTTGTAATCCATTAAAATAACACTATAGACTCATGGAAACAGAGCAAAATGCTAACTGTCGAATCCAGGTACCAGCTATAGGTGCTCACAGTATAAATTATTTTATCTTTTTTGTACATTTGAAATTTTTCATAATAAAATACCAAAAGAAAATTCACTGTTTTAAAGAGGAACCTATTGCCAGCAAATTGGTACATATTTTGACCTGGACCCTAAAGAACAGGCTTTAAGGAAAATATAATACATGAAGGCTTGTCTGGGAAAGACGACACGGAGTCCTGGGTTTCTCCTTCATCCCCAGCACCACAGGCTGGGTTCGCACCACAGGGTGCTGCCAGGTGCTGCCATGCCCGTGCCCAGGCAGTCGGCCTGACAGCCCCTAAGCACTTGTTTGATTACACTCCAATTTAGAAAAAAAAAAAATAGTGAATGCGATGTTTTTGGTTTCTCACGAAAACCAAAGAAGCTATGAGCCTCGCGAAAGAGACACGCACAGTAATAAGGAAGCCCATCATGAGACAGGCACCTCCCAGAGTGCCTTCCCGTGTCCTCGGTAATGGCCAAAGATACCTCCCGGAGCAGGGGCGGGGTGGGGGTGGGGGCGGGGAGTATCCCACCCATTCCAAATTGCCACCAAGAGAAGAAACTACTGAGGTACACATTTGTGCTTTCCAAAACTCTTTCTTTCCTTTAAACACACCTGAAGGAAGGCACAGGATTTGGAACATGGCTCCATAACTCAGGTGAATAGGCAGTCAACTAGTCACACTTCAAGAACAAATCTTTAGCCGGGCATGGTGGCTTCCGCCTGTAATCCTAGCACTTTGGGAGGCCAAGGCGGGTGGATCACTTGAGGCCAGGAGTTCGAGATCAGCCTGGGCAATATGGCAAAACACCATCTCTACTAGAAATACAAACAATTAGCCAGGCGTGGTGGTGCGCACCTATAGTCCCAGCTACTCAGCTGAGGCAGGAGAATCGCTTGAACCTGGGAGGGGGAGGCTGCAGTGTGCCGAGATCACACCACTGCACTCCAGCCTGGGTAACAGAGCAAAGCTCCATCTCAAGAAAAAATAAAAACAAATCTTCAGGGTCCCACTGTTTGAGTCAAGCTAAAGCTTTTCTCCAGAGATTATAGAATTAAGCAACGGAGTATACACTGAGCATCTCTGGATGCTTTAAGAAAAAAAAAAAAGGAAGGAGAAAGAAATGGGCAGAAGCAAGAAGGATTCTGAAGAACAGCAAACTCTGAGAGGCCAATGTCTGAACTGTGCGCAGCTGTGCTTCCGTGTGTAGATGTGACACTTTACAGGTTGGTTCCTTCACCCAGCCCGACCTTGCCAAAGATTAAAGCAGGAGTTCTGGTAAGGCAAAAGTTGGTCACTGGTGACTATTTCACACACACACTCTAGAAAAAATCCCAATGTATGATAATTACTTCATGAACAACTGAAACATCTCACCTCTGGAAAAACTGTAAGAAGTACAAATAAAGGAATTTGGGATAATAGGGCATATGCTGTATACAAGCATCCTTACAGCTGATTATAAAGAAAGTAAGGACCCTGACAGAATGTCAAAAATAGTCCACAAATTGGAAGGCATGCACTGAGGCTCCGGGTGGCTGTGATGCAGCAGACTCTGAACTCCTGTCACTGCGGAGTCACAGCATTTGGCAGCAGTAGAAGTCAGAACCTAGCACCACAGCCAACATAGTCACAGCATGGCCAAGGCCCCAGGGATGTGGGGAAGCCCAGGAAGGCACCCTCTCAGCACCACTGGGGCCAAAGTGAAAGCTGGACAGAACAAAGCTCCCACCAAAACAACCATGGCCTCACCCTACTCTCACTGGGGTTCCTGGAGCACCAGATCATGGATGCTGCATCAACCAGCCCCGGCAAAGGCGCCTTTGGCACCCACTTCCTCAGCGCTACAGCTGGGCTCTGTGCTCTGAGCCGAGAGAAATGCAACAGCCAGACCTACCTGCTGGCTTTTCCAGGTTCTCAGGATTGCTGGGGTCTAGCCAAGTGACCAAAGACAAGGAAGCACAGACGGGCTCCACCACACCATGGGAGCAATCCAGTGGCCTGGCACAGAGTGAGCACTCCACACACGCCCAGCCCTTCCCTGTGCTCCTCCTACGTGTCCTCTCTCACGTGGTGTCGCTGCCGTACTTCCACTCACATCCATGCTGGACAATGGAGCATCACCTCCGACCCACCCACTCCTGATACATGACTGTTACCAAGTTCTGTCACCTGGATGCCACAATGCCTTTACATCCATCTTTTGCTTCTCCAGGCCACACCTCTGGTTCATGCTCTCACCACTGCACACCAGTGTGGCTGCGTCTCTCTCCTAAAGGTGGCTCACTGTAGCCAGTCCCTGGACATCACCAATCTACACAAACATACCTTCTTTTAAAACCGAGTATTTTAATCAGAATACCAGAGCATGAATTGCTTTTGTAGTTCAAAAAAAGTCTCATTAGAGCTAGGTCCATTAAGAACATACTAAAAATAACAAAAAATAATGTAGGTCAGATCACCTCACTCTTATCCTTCCAACACTTTACGGGCTTCTGCTGCTAGAGTCAAGCACACACCTTCCAAGATGACACTGTGGCCCCCTGGTGGCCACGGCCTCACCTACCTGCCCACACCCACCTCGCCCACCTGTGCTTCCACTGCCATATCACACTGACAGGGGACACAGTGACGACCTTCCCGGGGCATGCTGCTCCTCAGCCGGGTGTTCCTCTCCACCGTTCAAAGTCCTCACAGCCGTCTCCCAGGCCTCCAGCCACTCCCCCTAGGCCTGCATAACAGTGACAGGGCTTGCATCACCCTGTCTTACTCAGGAATTTTCAACTATAAAACCCCAAAAGCCTTCTGCACCTCTATTCCCCACATAGCTTAGAATCATTCCTCAAACCAGGGTATATACTCAAAATATGTTTGTTAAACAGAAGAACAAATGCATTTTACATGCAAGTGAGTGTGATCAAGTACAAAAAGGTAAGTTACAGCTAAAAAAAAATGGGTTGGTATACTGTGGAAGCAATGTAAATAAATACACTTTAAAAATCAAAGTTTAAAGAGTTGGTTACATTTGAATGAGCACTGACTGGATACAGATGCTTTCTCATTTTTTTTTATTTTAGAGACAGTTTCACTCTGTCACCCAAGGTGGAGTGCAGTGACATGATCATAGCTCACTGCAGCCTCCAACTCCTGAGTTCAAGTGATCCTCCTGCTTCAGCCTCCTGGGTAGCTGGGATTATAGGTGTGCACTATCATACCTGGCTAAATGATAGATAGATAGATAGATAGATAGATAGATAGATAGATAGATAGATAGAGATAAACTGGCTAAATGATAGATAGATAGAGAGCTAGATAGACAGACTAAATGATTGATTGATAGATGATTGATTGATAGATGATTGATTGATAGATGATTGATAGATAGATAGATGATTGATTGATAGGCAGATAGACAGATGATTGATTGATAGACAGGTAGATGATAGATGGATGATGATTGATAGACAGGTAGATGATAGATAGATGGATGATTGATTGATAGATAGATAGATAGATAGATAGATAGATAGATAGATAGATAGGCAGGCAGAGAGAAAGAGAGATAGAGACAGGGTCTTGCTGTGTTGCCCAGGCTGGTATCAAACCCCAGGGCTCAAGCAATCCTCTTACCTCAGCCTCCCAAAGTGCTGAGAGCTATCAAAGCCAACATGGTAGCAAACCACCACTGGTCATTTCTCTACTACCTTCAATTCAAGATGGTAGTAGCATACCACTGCATTCCCTGCATACCCACTGCATTCCCTGCCACATCAATTCCCCAGAATGGAAGAAAAGTATATAGAAATATATCTATAATATAAAATATATTTTATATAAACATTAAAATCCATAATAAAAAAACTTTTTTTAAAGGTGCTAAACCTAGCTTTACTTAGTGGATTTTCCCATCCCAAATCCTTAACTCCAAGACTTTCCAGGAGACAGTAGACTCTCCTCTCCTTCAGCAGGCACTAGCCTGCAGTTCGCAGGGAAAGCACGTTACCTTGGCATCAGCAATGTCCACGAAGTTTTCCCTATCGGTGAGCTTGAGATAATGGATGTTGAGAGGAGGGCCCAGAGCTTCCTGTGCCTCGGGATGGCTCTGCAGCTGCTCCACTGCCAACTTGTAATATAAACTCCTGGAATGAAACTCTAAGGACGAAAGACACACTTATTTTCCTTGTTGAACTTGGTCAGGTAGAATCTACTACAAAGAAAATTAAATAATACAATTGATGTACAGGGTAGAAACAGAAACATGAAATTTGTGGATGGACGAATAATTAGGACCATCTACTCTAAACTGTCCATTTTACAGACTCAAAAACCAAAGCACTGGCAGGCAGTGTTTTGCAGGGATGTGCAAATGACCTTAGGCCTTGACCTCAAGCAGACCCTTTCTGCTTCACCTCATTTCTACCCTCACTCATTGCCTTATTTCTACACCTAAGGGGTTTGATCAGCTCTTCCCTATGTTTCCTCTCAAGTCTCTAAGTTTCCTCTAAAGTCCTATGATTCCATGACTTGTTCAAAGTGACACAGCTTGTCCACGGCAAAGCCGAGGCCAGAAGTCATGACACCTGACTTCTCAACATTGCCTATTCCACTAACATGAGACGTAAAATAGGCTACAACATTAGCAAAACCCTCAGGCCAAGAAACAGGATATGAGAATGTTCACTCATCGACATTTAAGCCAACATTTCAAGTCAAACTGCTCTCAGTCTCAGGAATCATTCTGAGCCCACAGGCTACCTGGGAACTCCGGGCAGCACCTCCCAGAAGCTGTAAGTTCTAATAATCAGCTGCCGGGAGCACAGGCAGGCTTCCCAAGCAGGCTGTTCAGTTTGGCCACAGAAAGTGCTTCCCTTCTGAAGGTCCCATCACACTAATGAAGGGAAAGGTGACCTGACCCTGGAGAGGCCAAGGGAATCCCCCTCCTCGGCTGCTTCCCAGGAACAGGGATACAGGGAATACCACAGGAATGAACGCTGTGCCAGCCATGATAGGAAAAGAAGGGACAGAAGCAGAGTCCAGACAGGTAATCTTTATTGAGTGATTTCTATGGCCAGGCACCACTGTTCAATATTTCACACATCTCACAATGTTCAATAGCTCTCATGTTGTAAGATTCAATTCTCACCTCATGCACAGGCACTAACATTACCACACATCACACCAATAAGGTAACTAACGCCCAGAAAGGTGACGGACTCCCCCATAAGGCCACATAGCTGGTCAAGAGCTGGAGCCAAGATTCAACCATTCAACCCAGGCAGTCGGCTGCAGTGCCCAGGTCTCACCAACTTAGCAGCCTCCTAAGGGAGAAAGGCTGTCACACCAGAAGGCTGAACCCCGACCCAAAAATGCACCCATTCCTCTCATGTCCTGCCCCTGTCCTTTGGCAGAGGGAAGAGGAGGCCAAATTATTCAGTCTGAATCATTCCTGGGAATGCTCATCTCAAGCCCCCTTCAGACTCAGCAACTTCACCAACTCTGCAGGAAGGTGCCGAAAGGCTGCAGAGGACACTGGAGCCTGTTTGCTTGTCTGCTGGTGACACTCACATCCTGGGAAGAAGTGAAAATGTTGCAGAGTGGATGAAGAGCCAAGCTGGGTGGGGATAAAGGGGCCTTAAAAAAGTCAGTCTGGAAAAACCTGCTGCCGCTTTGCCACCAGTAGCATTAAAATGACCTTAAATGTCCTGGCTGCTGACAGTAATTGTGGCCTGTCTTTACAAATTCAAATTTGAGTGCAGTGGGGCTGGAAGCTGCATGTGTCGGGATTTTGCCATCGTGGTCTCTGCTTTTATTTTCTGCCCCTGTCAGAGTCCCTTGCTTGTGGTCCCTCCTCCATTAAATCAACAGCAGAGAATGAAAGTGCAACGAAGGCTGACAACACTGGACGCGTACTCACAGCTTTCCCCACCTGTGAACCATCTGGTATTCCCCTTCCCTCTGTCCTTTCTTTATATAATCTCAGAATCTTGATGGAGCCACTGTGTGTGCACTGGACTGAAAGCCCATCATGCTTTGCTAGGCTTCTTATGCAAATGAGTCCTGGTCCTTTTATTTGTACTCGTTGCTCCTGGAAAAACTGAGATTACAGGATACAGAGGAAGCTACAGCCAATGAAATGGTGGACTAGCCTTTAAAATCACCCTCTCCTCCTTCTCTAATCTAAAGAAAGCATCTCAAGTATTTCCTCTGATGGAGGAGCAGGAGCAGGAGCAGGATTGCTAGGAGGAAGTCAGGCCGCAGGCGGCTTGCAGGATACTTACTTTGTATGAGGTAATACACAAGGGCAAAGCCCCCAGCACCGAACACACCGCTGAAAAGGACCTTTATTCCCAGAGGAATTGACTGCCTGCTTCCTGGATACTTAAAAACAAAAGATACAAATTTATTGTAGGATTCCCTGTTTTGTGCCAAGGGGATTTGCCTGGCGTGGGCCCCTCAAGGAAAGAAGCATTAAGGAAGTCAGCAAGGAGGCCAGACCGCCCTCCCTCATTTGCTTCCTTTCCAAATGCCAGGGTTGGTTCTGGAGCCAAACTGAGTGCCCTTCTGAGGGTGCCCTCTCGAGAGTGGCCCATGTCCAGGACCCATGCTGTGGGGGCCCTGCCGCCCCCAGCCGGCCCAGCACAGAGCAAGCATTCAGCCCACCATCCTGACAGACAGAGCCCAGACTGTGTGCCAAGCCCCGCGTGGCCAGGAAGCACAACCACTTTGTCTCAGGCCAACTGGTAAACAGGAAGCTTATCCTTTGTGGCAATGGCTGGTCCTTATAAGCCTGCAAATGGGCTGGAGCTGTCACTGGCTCCTTTCTTTCGTATTTTGAAAAATGCCCCACCCTTGGGATGAGGAAACCTTGGTTATGACTTTCAGGCTGAATGAACAGATGGAGGGATGCCAGCTCAGCAAATACAGCACACCACATCCACCCTGGCTTTAGCTCCTGTCGTCTGAAGGCCTGGGTGGGGCTGGGAGCAGCAGTGGACTCCCTGGAGCCAACTCTCCTCCTTCCTGGTGGCCATAACCACTGCTCACAGCGGCCTGAGGCTTTCTGAAAAGTGTAAGATACCTGACCATAAAACAGTAGGACGTGGGCTATAGGAGTAGGACAGGAAAGGACAGGAGAGGGGTCACAATTCAAATGCCCACAGGGCCAAACAGGTCACATAAAAGACAGCAGACACTGCAAAGACAAGGACGTAAGGCCCAGCCAAGAAGACAGCTTCAACCTGGCTCCCGCTGACTGTGGCTGTGTGGCCCCAGTCTCAATGGATCTTTCCATTTTTCAAGAGGGGTCAGAAATCTGATTTTTTTTTTTTAATGTGAAACTGCCTGGATTCTAAATGCTGACAACCAATTTTTTAAAATTGCTAACAAAATGCATTTGTGAATCAAATTATTTCTGTGGGTTTTCAGTTTGCTTTGACCATCAGCACATCCCAACCCTAAGTGAGATTTAGGTAAATTCCTGTCTGTCTTTGCTGACATTTCTCCAAAACGAATAGAGATTTTGGACAGACATGGAAATCCTGGTTTTAGATAAAGGAAAAAACTCCGTGTCTGTGTCCCTACTTGAAGATTTAACCTTAGATTTTAATTGTGCTCCTTTCACAAAACAAAGCCTCTGATGTGTCCTAAAGGGGTCAGAGGTAACGCAGTGCAGAAAAGTTAGGTATAATGCGAGTTCCTTTGCTGGCTGGAACACATTCTCACCATCTGCTTCTCCACCTTCCAGAACACAGAGTAACAACTAATTGTCTACCCATCATTTCTGAAAACTTGAATGTAAAGGAATCCATAGAAACCCTGTTGGAGGAAGTTCCTCAGGGAGACATTCTTTCTGAGAACTAGTAACTAAACATACCCTTGAATCAGGCTACAGGTGACCAGTTCTATACTAAAATATTTAATCCAGGTTTATGTATATAAAGGGTTTTGATCAATTTAACAAATGAAGGAGGGTGACATTTTAGATCATCTTTGTATTATCTGCTTATATGCTGTTTTGTTCAACTAAGAAAAGGCTGTTGAAACCACAAACAAATGTACAGCAACTGCTGTGAGAGTTCTAGCTAGTGCCCTATAATATGTAAGAGTATCAAAATGAGTGTAAAGTCAATTACAGTAATGTGATCTGGGAAAAGCCATTTTTCTCATAATGAAAATGGTCAGAGCATCTCTGAAGAATGTATTAGTCAGATCTTGCTTAATTTGAAGAGAGCTCAACAGGGTGAGGCAGCCAGACTGGGTTATGCAGACGTTCCCAGAGTGTTACAGCTTCCAACGCCAGCATGAGACACGAGAGAAAGACAAAGCCGGAAACAATGCAGAAAATGCCCCTCCCATCCCTCCTGTGAAGTTAAAGCACAAGTGAACCCTAAAGACCAGGAGAAGCCCGTAACTATTCAGGGAGTGACTTTCTTCTATTGTCTAACTCGAGAATACCCTGGCACGTTTTAGTGGGGAACTTGGCCCTGGAACATTCCATTACCTTTTGCCACATCATAGCACAACTCTCTTCAAAATCAGCAAAGGCAAGTTGTCCTGCAATTAGAAAAGATTTTACATTAAAATCATTTTTTAAAGCCCAATTCTCTCTAGTCTCATACAGCCAAGATTTATTACCAACCCAAGCTTTAGAACATGAACAAGGAGTTAAATTTAAGCTCTAAAACAAGCCTTGTCTGAGAAAGGCCCTGGTTTTTCCCCCTTCTGCCAAATTAGGAAGAAAAAACAAAGCCTACGGGTTTCCTGTCTGTGTCCTATGTACTTTCTGTTACAGCAACCAGAGAACCGGTGCGCACGAGGGAGAACCGCAGGCAGCAATTGCTTTGACCACAGCACAAACACGGGGCCAATCAGCAGGTGGCTGGACCCGCAGAAGCAAGATGCTAGCAATAAAAGCTGTACGTGACAGAGTGAAAACAGCACTTCACAGTAAAAAAGAAACCATAGTACAGTAAACCCATATATGAACTTTAACAATATTGATAATACCTAACACTTTTAACAATATTGATAATACCTAATACCTTACTATTATGTGTCTTGTACTATTCTAAGCACTTTACATAATTCATTTAATTCTCACAAGCCTTCGAAGTAGGAACTATTATCATCACCCTCATTTTACAGATGAGTAAACTGAGGCACAGAGAGGTTAAGTAAAATGCCCAAAGGTGCACTAATAAGTAAGTGGTAGAATGGGGATTCAAACTCATGGAGTCTAGCTCCAGCCATCTGCTCTTTCAACCACTGTGGTACACCAGCTTTAAGATATCTAATTAAAGCAATATTGAAATGTGAAAACAGTGTCTCTGAGCTAAAATATATTCTTACTGTTCAGTGTAAAAGTCCTTGGCAGGCATGCCTTTCCTGCTATTTTTCCAGACAAGGTAGATACATATTTGTACCTTCATTCCTTCTTTTGTTTAGCAAACGGTTACTGAGGGTCTGATCTGGTCAGACAGTAAGAATATAAAAACAGTATCAAGATATAAGGAATTTTCCTTAGTCCTGAAGGGATACAGACAATTAAACAAATAATGATAACATAGATCTATCACATACAACTGCACAGCTATGCACTGCACAACGCTTGCAGGGCACCATGCACATTAGAGACATCAAAGATTTCTGTCTTTATTAAGACAGTTTGCCAACAGTTGGAAGTACTATGAAGTATCCTGAAGAAGGTGTGGGTGTCTTTTTCTAATTTGCACAAAGGTGCCTTCGGGCTAGCAGCAGCCTGGTTAGTGCAACCAGATATATGCACCAAGAGAGGAAGTAACACTCAGGAAGTGGTCGACGCCGCTGCACGGAATCAGTGGAGGTTTCACAGTTTACGGAGAAGAGAAAGGTGAAAGAGTAGGAGAACAGCTTCAGATCCAGGAAATGATAAACAAAGGCAGAGTGGGCAGAAACAAGAACTGCTGAAGTGTAAAGTACAGGAGAGGAGCCACAGGAAACAGGTCCGGAAATGGAGGGGCGGCAGCATAGGGGGTGGTTACTGCTAAGAAAGACCCTCGACCCTGAGCTGTCGGACTCTGCAGATGAGGGGCTACAGAAAAATCTCTCTGGGACAGACGGGTGGGCAGATGCGGGGAGAGAAGACAATGCAGCAGTACTGCCAGAGAACAGCAAAGCCCAGAGCTAAGACCAAGGCAGCAAGTGTGCCGCAAAACGGTGGTTTCTTAAAATATTCAGGATGGGTCTTACTTATTTACTTATTTTTATACTTGCTCATTCCAAAAAGGATGATGGAGCTAACAAAGATACATACTTTAGAAGAGAAGAAAACAGATAGATGAGGAAATGAAGATAAATGAAAAATAATATTCAGAAAAGAAATGGGGCTGAAATAAAATTAGAGCACAATAGGACATACTGTCATTCACTAGGCATTTCCTCAAGGTGCCACATATTTGACACGGCTTCCTATCTGCTCAGCAGACAGGGAAGCTTGAGGAGCTACAAGATCCAGAGTGTCCGTGGGGAAAGGCAAATCAACCACTGAGTCAGAAGACAACAGCTGCTAAGAATACATGAAGCCTCAGAAAGCCCTCGCCAAGACTCAGAGATTCTCTCAAGTGACTGGTGTTGCAAACATCCTGAGAATTAAAAACAAGATCACAAAAATAAAAAGTTCCCAACTACCAAATGACTATGTTTTATAACATCCAACTATGAAAGCCACATTCATACTCCCCCACCACCAAAAAAAACAAAACAAAAAAAACAGAAGAATTATTTTACAAGCAGTCAAAAGAGTGAGGACTCAAGAGTGCTTAGGCAGTGAGGATCAACCAAGTCTCCCCAGAGCCCTTCCACGTCAAAGAAGGGGTTGGGGTGCGAGTGGTGGGCAGGAAATGGCTTCAGGAGTGAGTCGGGGGTAGCAAGAGCTCCTTTTCAACCAGCTTCAGTTTACCTGCCCCTTCAGCCGCCTTTTGAAAAGTGTTAAGTATTCCCCGACCTCACAAAAAAAAACAAAATTTCAAAAAGGCACTGTAGAGGAATAGAGATGGATTTCAGGCTAACTGCAGGAATGTTACCTCTTAGAACTAGTCTTCTAGTAAGAGGCGAAAATTTAAAAATGTGATGTGCCATTCTCTGCAATAAACTCAAGTTCAACCAGTCTACTATGTTGCCAAATAAGGGCAGATTTATTTGCTTAACAGTTCGCCAAAAGGCAAGGGTTGCATCTGTATTGGAAATCAAGGAACTTGTTAGCCACAGGAAGGTGGCACAAAGCACTGGCCAGGGTCTCTCAGGAAAGCAGTCTTAGCTCTGCTCTGATACACAAAGGGGTGACTTTGGCCTCCAAAGGCAAATAGTTTATAAACCTTTTCCAAAGTACTAAATCCTTTCTAGAGCCAAAGAACAGTCTGCTAAACAGATGCAGCAGACACTGAAGCTGGCACAGGCTGGAGGATCCTGTCAGCCTCCCTTCAGCTGGGACCAGAGGAAGCATCACCAGGGGGATCAACAGAACAGCCAGGGAGTTCAAGCCATAGACAGGATCCCACAAGGGAAGGGTGGAAGCAGGCAGGTGGTGCAACTTCAAGCTGAGAAGCACACCAGAATCACAGGAAGCGCTTAAAAAAAAAAAAGGCCAGGTGCGGTGGCTCATGCCTGTAATCCCCACCTTTCAGGAGGCCAAGGCAGGAAGATCACTTGAGCCCAGGAGTTCAAGACCAGCCTGGGTAACACGGCGGAACTCAATCTTTACAAAAAATACAAAAATTAGTCAGGTGTAGTGGCGTGCACCTGTGGTCCCAGCTACTCAGGAGGCTGAGGCAGGAGGATGGCTTGAGCCCAGGAGGTGGAGGTCACCATGAGCCGAGACCATGCCACTGCACTCCAGCCTGGATGACAAAGCAAGACCCTGTTTCAAAACAAACAAGGCAGATGTCCAGGCCACATCCAGACCAATTAAAATAGAATCGGCAAGGGCAAGACCCAGGCAATGGTGGTTTTTAACCTTCTCATGTAATCGCAATATGCAGCCGGGCTTGGGAATCAGTGGTATACTGGAAACAAAGTACATAAAGCAGCATTACAGCTAGCTGAAGCAGGAGCAGGGTCAAAAGCCCGGCTATGAACACAGGCCATGTGACATTCCCAGCAGGCCTATTAACACCCAGAGTCCTTTCTAAAGCAGCGTTTTGCCAAGCATAACCTATTCACTTCACCTCTGTTCCTCTGGGTAACATGGCTGGCCTGGCTTGTCCTACAACTGGGTAACTACTATGGGCCAGGCACCATGCAGGATGTTTTATATGCACTACTCCTATTTCTTAAAACAATCATAAAAGGTAGATATTATTTTTACCTTTCTGAACTAAAAAAAAAAGCCTTAAGAAAGGTTCTGATACTTGCTTATGGTCATGCAGCTATTCCCTGTCAGAACTATTACATGCATCTGACTCCAGAGGCCATGGTTTCTCCACTGAGCCAAGACCATGGATTTCAGAACAATCAGCTTTTCACACAGGTAGGATGTGCTGTCCAAAAGCCATTTCCATCTGCCAGAAGCAAATCACTGCTACACTGGGAAAGTTTTAATCAATGTATCTCCAAGTTATAATTTAAGGGAACAAGGTAAAACAAAGAGATACAAAATCACTTAGCGACTACTGGGAGGAAATGGAAAGATCGTTCCTCCCTATTGTTGAATGGGCACGGCTCATTGCTACTGTCACCCCGCGGATTACATATCGTTCAGCCTTTAAAAATCGAAAAATTGTCAAGGGCCACAGTGGAGGGGGTTGGGGGGGGCGGCAGAAAGATAGTACAGAGAATTATGCTTAAGACAATAGAAATAAAAAAAGTAACGCAATATAAATTGAAATGAAAAAGAATAAGAAACAAAACCCAAAAGGCCGAAAATAAAGATTAAAAATTTGGCATTTAAGAAAAAGAAGTATGAATGGCAAAAACAAAATAAAAGAAGATTAAACTTTTTTGAAGAATGAAATGTCTCAAATGTAAGGTAAGGAAGACAAAAGGATAGTACCAAAAAACATGATAAAAGCATGCGAGTAAACATGATAAAAGTTTTTTTTTTAAGTAAAAGACTATGAAATTAAGCATTTTAAAAATTAAGCATACAAATGTTAGCGCTGACTTTTTAACTTCATTTTGGCTCTGAAATCATGGAATAACTTGAATGCTTGTAGAGGAAAGACTTCCTGTAACCTTTTATTCTTAATCACGAGGCAAGCTCCCTTTGTTGAGCTGAGCTAAGGATATTAATAAAAGGCTGTCCAATACCTTTCTACAGGTTGGCGCAAAACTAATTGCGGTTTTCACCATTGAAAGTACTGGCGAAAACCACAATTACTTTTGTGCCAACCTAATATCAGAGATGTCTGTTACTCATCCCATGGAAACCAAGACTGCCTGGAGAGAGGGTCCCTGTGCCAATGGGATTAACAATTTTTTTAAAGATTAATAAACTATAAGATGAAGGAAGATGCCATTTAGTTTAAGAGGGCATCAAGCTACCATTTCCTGATATGACTTCACAAATTCCATTTAAAATA